CAGACACCGCATTGTTGTCTTTGTCCCACAGATTGAGACCAACCTACTAAATGAAGTCAGTCTACTAAAGCGGGAATCTCATTGGGCGGATTGAGGTCAAGCCACTGTGGATTGAGGCCAGAATGGGGGAGACATGGCGCGTACGTTCGGGCGCGCGTCAGTCGCGTCTGGCAGCAGTGGTGGTCACCCGTCCGTTTACGCATGCCTCGAGGCACGCGGGAAAACTGCTTTCGCACGCTCTGAGTGACCTCGTCTGTGGCGTCAAGAGTTAGGAGGGCATCGAACAAACACGACCACTTCAAGGGAAGTACAATCCTCGGCTCCGTCTCCATGTAGCTCCACTGCTGCATGCGTGATCCAAGCCGGAGACCACCATGGTGCGCTCAGCGTCGTAGCATGGAAGGTTGCCAACTGACAACTATGCTCGGACCTCGAAGTCAGTTAAAGCTATGCTTGTGCTGAGTGACCTGTTGGAGTTTAAGCCGCGAGTTGTGCTCAGAGCACTACAGTTATCATGCCCAGTCCGGTATAGGAAGAGAAGGCGTAAGACCGGTAGGAGTTGTTTATTGTATACAGAAACTCAATGATGGTCTGAAGCCCTGACATGCAGCAGGCTTCTGTTGTTATTAGCAAACGCTGACCCCTAGAGGCCTTCGTTGTGGTCCAGGTGATGTCCTGAATCAACTATGTACCCGAAAATAGCGCTGTCCATGCTCCTGACTTCACATTTTCTCGGTTATACTTGGAGGTGTTTCCTTGTTCTTTTAGGTAAGCGCCGAATCCTGCGAGCAATATAACCTGCCCTACACGAGTTAGTAAATGAGCAAGTGCACACGGAGGTGGTTTGAGCTGGCAATCTATCCTTATCTTCCCTGTGGAGGACCCGTTTGGTTGAGAATAGTATCCGAACTCTCGCTGCTGCGAATGTTTGTGACACGGCTTGGTCAAGGCGTCTTCTTAGGAGTTCACTTGCCACTTCGCCTTGAAAGCGACCAGTGAGAAATAGTGCTTTCTTTGCTACAGTGAGTGTTGTGGATTTTAATTGCCTCGCAACCCTATTCTTTGTCATGAATCTTGTTGGGACGGCCCGGACGCGAGTCATCACTCAGGCAATCCTGAGGGTACCAGAACAAAGGAACCTTACTGGCGACCGTTTCATGCAGTTTCAAGCGACATTTAAAAGGCGGACATTAGGTCAGGACAAAGGAGGCGCGCGAAAGCGAGACTGCCCCGCGGCCGGGTTGCGGT